GCAGCTACATGTGCTGTGTCCTAACCATTGCTTGGAAATGAATTTAATCAATAATTAAAGTACTTGGGGCAACACAATAACACTAAGTGATGAACATACAATATTGCACAGTGCTCAACAAAGTGATTTGACCCACTCTCATCAAAATCTCTGTTTCCTATACATAGCCCATCAGTTCTTGATTGGTCCACAGTTATTAAAACTGTCTAAGAATGGTGGTCTATATGGAACTGAAAAAAATGTCAAATGTGTTTGCTTGGGGTTTGAAACAAAACACCCAGGTGATACACATGGCATAAATAGTTGTGGTAACAAGTGTAAAATGCAATGTGTGACGCAATCCCAACATACTGTACCCTAGTACAACATGCCATCAAAACCTCCCTGCTGTCAAGCATGTTGGTGAGAGCATTATTGGAAATGAAAGCTCCTGGTTCTGTGCTGAAGGTCTTACCCCTGTCTCAGACGAGGGGCACCTGAGTTGGGGTGAACTGCAAAGTGACAAGGAAACCAGACAAGAATTGGTGTGCAAAATGTCCTGGCGGTGCCTTTAATTGCTTTGTCTTTTTCCAACCATCTTTTCAACATGACTTGTTTTTGTTTTTTTTTGCATGTTATTTCTCAGTTTCAATACACCAGTTTTCCATATTCCCATGTTTAAACAATTCAATAACTAACTACACAGCTTCATTTAACACAACCAACATTACTGCCTTAGTGCTGTTTTATGACATATTGCGCGATGCCTTTAACTCTTACACATTTAACTGAAGTCCATTCACAGTTCCACTATTATCATCAAATTATCATCAAACCTCCGTGTCACCATTTGCTTTACATACAGTATGCACCACGTTTCTTACAATGGAGTTCGCCATCTTCCTTAAGTGTACGGAAAAGCTGCACGGAAAAAGTAACATTTCCAATCAACGTTTACTCTAACATCTTTACCCAGTGTGGCCTCTACATAAACCCTAAACTAATTTATAGTTATTTCCACAACTCAAACATAACACCACATTTCAGTGCGTGACAATCACATCCTGTATACCTGCCTATTAGCCTATCGAAAGGGCTCAATTAGTTTAAACAAATTTGTACAATAAATGCATTGTAACAGCGATTAACATTTACCAAAAACTTTATACATTAGCCATAACGTGCAATCATTCGACTCATGCTCATTTTTTAACATATTAATGAGGTTTTAAACAGTTTTACCAACCTGCAGAGTGATCAAGAAACTACGGAAGCCTGTTTCCGCCAGGGAGTAAAAAAAAACGCGCTATGGTATCTCAGCATTGCGACTTAGTAAGTCAGAATTCTGAGATGCTAAGTCGCAATTCTGAGATACTAAGTCGGAATTCTGACTTACTAAGTCGGAATTCTGAGATGCTAAGTCGCAATTCTGAGATACTAAGTCGGAATTCTGAGATGCTAGGTCGCAATTCTGAGTTACTAAGTCGGAATTCTGAGTTACTAAGTCGCAATTCTGAGATACTAAGTCGTAATTCTGAGATACTAAGTCGTAATTCTGAGTTGCTAAGTCGCAATTCTGAGATACTAAGTCGGAATTCTGAGATGCTAAGTCGCAATTCTGAGATGCTAAGTCGCAATTCTGAGATACTAAGTCGGAATTCTGAGTTGCTAAGTCGCAATTCTGAGATACTAAGTCGGAATTCTGAGATGCTAAGTCGCAATTCTGAGATGCTAAGTCGGAATTCTGAGATGCTAGGTCGCAATTCTGAGTTACTAAGTCGGTATTCTGAGTTACTAAGTCGCAATTCTGAGATACTAAATCGGAATTCTGAGATACCATAACGTGTTTTTTTTTTTTTTACTCCCTGGCGGAAACGGGCTTCCATAAGAAACCACACACAAATTAATGTGCGAAATGTTTTGGCAGTGCCTTTAATTGCTTTGCCTTTTGACCTTTGCCAGAACCGCAGATTCCTTATCACTGCCAGTGCCAAACGCCATCTACAGCATAAACTATTAAACAGCATTTAAACTCGTTCTCATCCCGTTAGGAGTATTCACGGTGTGTATTATCATTATAATGCGCACTGCAAGTGACACTGCATTATGTTATAATTCTGCTTCTCATCAGCAAGGACTGGAAAACATTTCATGAATGAAGAGAGTATAGATAGAGCAAAATATAGATACAATTTAGAAGAATAATTGCTTCAGATCTAATTCACCTTTCAGCAGGACAATAATCCAAAGCACAAGGTCCAAGCTACACTGGAGAGGTTTAAGAATAAGAAAGTGAATGTCCTTGAGTGGCTCTGTCAAAGTCCTGGCTTACATATCCTTTGTATCCTACCGAGGATCTGAGGAAAGGATAAATGATCCCCAAGCAACTTGAGAGAGCTTGACCAAATCTGCAGAGAGGAATATGAAAACAATTGCATCAAGTCCGCATTCAAAGTTGGTTGAGAATTACTCAAAAATACGGATGAAGTATCTGTCAAAACTGCTTCCATCAGATATTGAGGTCATGGGTTTGAATATGTAAACATTAAACATATTTATTTATTTTCTCTTTGGCTTTTGCTGTCATTAATTGAAACATATCCTTAAAAGTTTTTGGTTTGAGCAGTCAGTCTTTGATCAAAATATTACGTTTTAAAAAATGTGTATGCATCATCTTGTAATGTTGAAAGGCATTATAAATATAGAGAAAACAAACACGTCCACATTTCATTTTGGTATTTGTAAGAGGTGAGCATCTTTGCAGATAATAAAAAGTCTGACAGTGAAATATATTGTGTAAGATTATTTTCTGTTATGCTAAAATACTGAAGCTGCAAATTATTTTAACAGACTGTGAGGTGATAAATAGTGTCTTTATTTAGCTTTTTAGTGGTAAACATATCCTTTGTAACAAACTTATTCTGATAATTACAATTTACCAGTATTGAAACAGATTATTCAGTGCATGTTGGCATTTGGTATTTAGTGTTTCAAGTTAACATTTCAAAGAATTGTCCATGATGGTCAGTGCCTTCTTCATCATGACTGCGCATTTATAGAAAGCCTTGACTATGATGTAAAGAAGTGACTTCTATATTCATAATCAAGTGATCATTCTCTTTATTGCTTCTTAATGGAAGAAATTGCAATTTTTTCACAAAAGGGATTCAGAGTATCTTGGATTGAATAAGGTTGCTTTTTGACAAAGAATACACTTGGATTTTCTTGTCACTATTCCCAGCAATGTTTATTTTGTGAAATGTGACCATATTTAAGGTTTATACAAGTGCATTGTTTAATTTTGACATTACACCATCCTCTTGTGTTACATATGGCTCACAATATGTTAATTGACATAAAACCTTGCATAGGCCCAATAATATCATTTTTGAGTTATGGAAAGGTTGCATTATATACAGTACATAAAGAGAAAGTAGTGCAGTTAATTTCTTCTGTGGATGAATATTGTGGGCCACGCATAACATAGTCACTGCCAGCATCCAACAAGATTAAACTCACTATATTTTCAAATAGCGGCCTATCCTCAGAATAATATTTTTCATGAACTTCGCATGTCTTCTCTGAAAATTGTGTTTAACTCATGTTGCAGTCATATTATGTCTATTTCATTTTGTGTTTAATCACTGACCAGTACAGTATTCAGTGTAGTTCAGTCCAGTTTTCAGTTGGCTGAAATAATCAAAGGTTAGGTGAAATATGTTCTTTTTACTCTGTGGTACAGCACTATTGAGTAATTGCCAAGCTAAAAAAATGACAGGAATATTAATCAACAAAAAAATACACAACAAGAGATATAATGATTATACTAAAGACAGTGGGCTTCAGAGTTCTAATTCCTATAGACCTATGAAATCCAGAATTCTGCCCCTGTAATCCAAAACACAATACCTTAAACAGTCCAAAGCGAGAAAACCTGTGTCTTAATAAAAACTGGATATCACTCTTCGTTAAAGTGGATCCCCTCATGTGAATTGGAATAAATTTCCCCTTGTTTCACAATTCATCACTAACACAGTTTTTAACTGAGGAATCGTAATTTCCAAAAATGTTTAAGACGACAGGCTCGCTTGTAAAAAAATGCTCAGGTTACCTGATGTAGCGGAATCTGTTTCCTGGTCTGGTTAGAAAAAGCAGCTCTTCCTCCATTCAACTTCTTCCTCTTTTTCTCTTTGTTCTTGTCTTCTTGAATTTCTGCAGTGGTCCATTCCTTTGCACTGATGACCTTCCTAAAAAAACTGGAGACTATTCTGTGACAAGGTGGTCGAAATGGTTTGCCATGAAGTTTCCATTTTTTTTTTGTTCTGAAACTTTTGACTTCCTACAATCTAGCTGGGAAATGTAAACGCAGCTTAAATATACTCCTGCCCGAGAGCCATAGCAGTGTTAGATGCATTTTGTTTCTAGTTTTGATACCTGCTTCATCTGGATGATGACAAAGTCGAAAGGACCCCTTTGTGGGTTACTTTATATTCAGTCCCATCCATTTGATATTAACATTCCTTTTACTTACTGTACATGTAAAACCTTTTTACCCATCAATGCTGAAATTTCAGACCACAGATAACATCAGAATCCTCTTATTACTTTACTGATGAGACAGTGTTTGCTTCTCCACAAATTCTAGGTTCAACTAAGAAGTAAGATTTATGACTATGTCAGGATCTAGTTTAATAAGAGTTAGCAAGAGCAACAGTCCTATAAAAGATCCCAGTGGCACTCTGCTAATTACTTGGCTTTCCTTGGTAATTGGTTTCTATACTCTCAACACATTAACGAGTTATTAATTCAGTTGTGTACAGTACATCACCTTGAATAGCAACAGATTTAAATTTCACAATTAATGTCTATGCAGATCTAATGTCATCTGGAAATCTCTATTATCACGTGCTCTGTTGATAACTCCAGCCTCTACTGCTTGTTCAAAGAAATCAAAGAAGGTATGATGTATTTTCTCAGTAGTACATCACACAGAAAAAGAAAGGACTGGGAGAGGTGCAACATCAACAGGAAATAAAACATTTTTATTGAACATTTGTGTATATTAAGTTATATAACAACAATCAGAGAACTCCACGGTGTGAATCACTACACAAAGTGAAACAAAATTGTAAAACACCTCATCAAAAATGAAGGTATACACAGCTATATAACCGTCAGCTCGTCATTATCACGAGCAATATGGCAGGAAAAAACACCCCAACATTTCTACAAGAGTACAGAGAAAATTTCCACACACAAAAAATACTCAAGCAGGCAGTTAATATACACAAAGGCAACTAGGATCTTTCTACAGCATCAGATTCTAATACTTTACACAGCTTAGTCTGAAAGGTAAGTGTGGCTTTTGTTGTTGTTGTTATTGTTGAGGAATGAAATTTCTTGGTCACACAGCAAGTTCAAAGTGTACTTGTAAAGGAAATTGTAGGGTTGATCTTATGCTTTGGCGGGCGACAGTAGAGGAAGCATTGTATTGCAGTGCAGGGTAATGGCTTTTCACAAGGTACTTTAAAAACCTTGCAGTCTAATCTTGCAAGCTGCAATGCTTCCTATTACTGTGAACTTTAACCTGATGCGTTTAACGCTTTTATTACCATTAACAGATCTTTGAACATTTTTGTTATATATCCCTTGTGATTTTTCCATGATCTTTTTTTTATCCTTGAGATCTTTAAACAAGCATTTTCATACCATAGGAATATTCAAATAAATATATATCTATAAAAAAATTAGAACTATGAAATCCCTCTTTACAAAAGAATGCACTTTGTATAAACAATGATACTTTATTAGGGATACATAACATCTGTGATCAAACCTGTACTCAATAGTTACAGAACAGATAGCTTTCTGGGTCCAAAATACATACTGGGATTTCCTTAAAAAAGTCTTCCAAATTTTAGATTCACAAATAATCAATATTTATTGCAACAGTTAAAAAAAAGTGCCATCTTTATCTGGTCCCACAATAAGAATTAAAAAAGGTTCTGTTTCCACAATCTAGAACATTCAGACACACGTTTCAGTTGTAACAACAAAAGAAGATGGCATTTAGTACCTAATAATATATTTATGCACAACTCTAGTGTTCTTAAATCAGTGTAATGTTTTGGTATTTTTCCATGGTAATTCCTGAAATTATTTTTGTTGGACCTGTGTGCAAGAAATAAAGGAACAAAAAATATATAATATTTATAATATACGATGAAGGTATTAAGCTCTCACTCACACAGAAACTACATGTGCTGTCCTAACCATTGCTTGGAAATGAATTTAATCAATAGTAGGATATTTTGGGCAACACCACCCACATAACACTATGTGATGAACATACAATATTGCACAGTGCTCAACAAAATGCTGTGTGATTTGACCCTCTCTCATCAAAATCTCTGTTTCCTATACATAGCCCATCAGTTCTTGATTGGTCCACAGTTGTTAGAACTGTCCATGCTATGCACACCTTCAGCAGTGCAGTAGAAGGGAATGGCAGTATTAATACAATATCACTACAGAATAAATTGGTTGCTATCCACTGAGAAATCTACACTTCTAAGCACGCACGGCAGTCACAGTGATACACAAAGCAGTCCTTAGAGACTCGTATGGAATGACTAATAGCTTTATAATAGTGCCATTTACTACATAATAACATTGAAAACATTTAGAAACTCCTCCTGAAGCAAGCATCTAGTATACACAAGAGGTTCCTCAAAGATAAGAGAAACGGTTTTCATTTACTAAAACGTTTCACTTATTCCTCTTGTTAACCCGTAGTAAAGGACAAATTGACTTACTTAAAGTTTTCAATAACGTGGCAGACCATTAACTTTTACGGTTTCTGATTGATTATATCTCCTTTGCTCTTGTTGAAAAGACACTAGAGAACTAGCCAGCTACTGTTGCTTCAGTAGCGTGGCAGTACAGAATGGCAGCCATTGTTGTTTCCATGTAAACTGGTGTCCAAAATGGTGGACACTGTTACTTCTTCAGAGACACAAAGCAGTGTCTCTGAATAAGCAATACAACTTAGTTGCAATACCAGTGTCAAGAACAGCACAGCATTGACTGTTGTGTAACAGACCTACAGCGCAAAATGGCAGTCACAATAAAAGTGGCAGTAAAACATGGCTGCCTACATTGCTACTGTGAGAAGGCAGTACAACAAAATGCTGGCTATTCTGACAACCATTTTGGTTCAAGACATTATTCCCATTAAACAAAAACAACAACTGCTACCTCTTAGGTGTGCTCATGAAGAAAAAGTTCACTTACTGTACGTTTGTAACCTCCCTGAAAATGGCAGTGTTTCGACTTTCTCTAGCCTTTTTGACATGTATATATGCTATCCTACCAGATTTAAGACTTTCATTCTAATAATTTTAAGCCAAGCTGTATAGTTTTCCTTTCTTTTGAGTTTTATTGATAGAAGGCAAGGGGATACTATAAAAAGAGACCCCCGGTGTAGCAGAACCCCCCATCCCTTCCTTTAAATTCATTAGCAAAAGATTATTAAAAAAAACATGCAATTGCTAAAAATATTTGGACATTAACATTATCTAAAAATATTAATCTTAAAGCTAGAGTTTAAACCCCTTTCCCCACTTTGAAACCCTGACACCAAACCTTCAACTAAGTATATATCCAACAACAAGTCTATTGGAAGTATGCAATTAACAAAACATTGTCAATCAAGCCTGAAGGACACAATGGCTACAGCTTCTTTCAATTTCAGAGGGGGCTATATTCAGGGGGGTCAAAGGAATAGACATACAAGCTCAGGAGGACCTGTTTTCAAAAGATGAAGACCATATAAAGAAAAGATGGTCTTAACTGAGGACCTATTTTAAAAGTAAGTCACTGATTAACAACATGAAACCTTGCTTAAACAATAAAAAAACAGCAAATTATTTACCATCTTTTTGGAATTTCTTGTTACACCAAGTATGAAGCTAAATGTACAGGTCCTCCATTAAAAGATTCATATAAAAAGTCATTAGAAACCCTGTGCTTATATATTTTTGTCAGCAGCATATTTTCCATGGAACCATATTAGTTAATGGCCTTGTTTTTGTAGCTTTTTTTCTTTTTTTGTTGTTGATGGTTTAGTTAAGTAAACATACAGACTGACACTGTCCTTTACAATGTGAGCGCACCTCCACTAGTATCTTGCAGGTTGGAATTTTATCTGGAATGCAGTAAGATAGAATTTTTAATCCTATAATATATAATATCGGCTCTCCTATATCTCAGTCCATTTACATAATTTAAAATAGAACATCTTATTAAAAACATCAAGATATACACAGATTAGGAAACGCTAAACAACATACAAACACACAAACTATAAATCAGTTTTCTGCATACTGGTATATACAACTGTGTGATACAATAAATAATTTCAGTCATGCTCTATCTACACAGATCATATTGCTTAAAAGAAGGGGGTGCTTAGTGGAAATGGGATAAGTATACGGTAGAGAAGGGGTGCTTTAAAAAGGGCCTCTACACCTGAAAAGGTAAAGTAAATCTGAAGGAAAAAATAGAAAGTACCATTGACATTTGTAAAAGGGTGTTACTAGGCAGTGTATGGAGAGGTGGAAGTGAATGGACCCATATATCACTGAGGTATTTACACATACGGGCTAAAGAGCACTACATGGGTAGGTATTGAAAGGCTTCTCTTTTGCTTTATTTCTTGATTGTGAGCTGGGCATCTACTTCCTCTTCTGGCTTTAGAACATGCCACTGCGCGATGGGTCTCCTGGGGTTCGCCAGCATGTCTGACCAGTGCCTCAGCTCGGTTCCAGAGCTGTTGTAGCCCACAAAGACTTTGCCGATGGCATCGTTCTTGCCGATCTTGTCATAGTCCAGAACAGTCACAACAATCTGCACTTTCTGTTGAAGGACAAAGAGAAAAGAGAAAGGGGTTAAGCCTTTGGCATTTTACCCCAGTCTGTCCCATTTAACGGTGACTGCCACAATAAACAAGCCTATGGATAATAATGCTCCAGTTTCTGTAATTTTCAGCACCCTTAGTACATCAGAGGCTGAAAAGCATCTAAGGACACAAAAGATTTCAAAGTGTCCCTTTCAATCACTGAAGCATAATTATTCAAAATCAATACCCTCTTCACTGTGACTCTGGTCAATGAGAGATAACAGGGCTGTGCCAAAGAGTTTCAAACTTAATGAAATCAACTAAGCATTCTCGAATAATTTCATTCAACAGCTAGCTGTCAGGAAAGCAATCAACAATGAGGTGTCAGTTTATTTTAAATAACTTTTCAGTTGAAATATTTTAATGCATTTTTAAAAGCTTTAATATTGAACAGTACAGGTTAATTTTAGAGGGAAATGCAGCTACAGTATGGGTATGAAAGTAAAGGTTATGCTTGTCTGGCGCTCAAAATGTTGCTGTGCTCCAATTGGACAACACTTGGTAATAGATTAGAACTGAAGAAAACATTGCTCTCATTTAGAAGTTATTATTATTATTATTATTATTATTAATAATAATAATAATAATAATAATAATAATAATAATAATAATAATTGCTTACACTTATATAGCGCTTTTATGG